GTAGTACAAGGGAAGATAGGAAGGGTGGAGGATTGGGGAGAAAGACAATGAGTTTCGTTTTGGACATGATGATTTTAAGCTGTCCATGGAATCTCCAGGTGAAAATGCCTCAGCACCTGGGACAGTGCCTAGCCCATAGTAGTCACATAATAAAGCTTGTGAATTTATTAATGAAAAATCATTCAAAATTTTTATTTCATAAAATTTATAGCTGGAGACAACCTCCCAACTCACCAAGGCTGCCTTCCAATCTGTTACTTCAGAGATAAGGAAATGGGTTCAGAGAGTTGAAATGATTTGGTCCAGTTTGCATAGGTAGCAAGTAGAAGTCAGGACTTCCACTCAGATCACATGGCTACAAAGTCAGAGCTCTATTATGACCCACTCTCTCTCATAATCATGGTTACTTGACTAATCCCACTGAACTTCCTATGGCTTTTTACTGGTCAATGCTTAATAGCACATGGATCTTATATCTTTTCTCAAATACTAGGAAAGGCTCAGCTGAGAACTTACCACTAAAATTAATTTCCTTTTCTAAAATCAAGTCATGCAGAAATTGAAAGGGCAGATGAAAAGCTACTTGTTTTCCTTTATACTCCAGGAATGTTGGAATACAATCTCCTTGAGGGCAGAGGCAGCTTTTGATGATGTGTTCTTACCTCTCAGTGCCTAGTATGGTGCCTAGCGTGTAGCAGGTACCCAATCCATATCTAATTACTTGAAATGTGTGCACTTAAAAAAAGAGGACTCTGTATCTTCACACCTGAAATACTAGGCTCAGAGCCTTCCTCATACTTCTGGCAGCAACACAGGTATGTGCGTTTTTAACAGCATTTCACAATGGCCATAGTCATCTTCTGAGATCACAGAAGAAACAGAACAGAAATAAGAAACAACTTTCCAGAAGAGGCCTCAGAGGTCACGGAACTTCATTTATGTAAGAGGAAACTTAGGCCCAGAGGTGGAGCAACATCTCCGAGGCCACATACACAGAGGAGGAAGGATTGGAACCCAGGTCCTTTGACTTCTTCATGGCCTATGATGGCTCCCTGGGCCAGTCTACTTCTCAGGAAAAGGTCGAGCTGGAGCTAAGTTGGAAGTACTAATTTTCCCCTGCATCCCTTTGTCTCCAATGCCATGAGCACTCTAGCACTACTACAATTGATGTTCCTGTTTATTTTTTATAGAAACTCTCATGCAAAAGAGCCCTCTTTCCTACCGGGCCTCCCCAGCAGAGTTCAGAAAGCATCCTCCATGAAGGTCCCCTCTTCCAGAGACTACCATCACGGGCAGTTCTCTGCTTATCAAGCCCTCAGAGATGTAGAACTAGCAGCAACCCTGAAGGCTTATCTAGCCTAGTGCCATGACTGAACTGATGAAATGAGGAAACCGACAGAGGAGAAGTGGCTGTTCCAAAGTCATTCAAGGAGCAAGTAAGAGGGCCATAATTTGAACCCAGGTCCCCCAGGACTCTGACTGTGGCATTCTTTTGGCTATATAGTGATGCAATATGAAGGGCACAGTTTAAACCCTGCTCTCTATTATTCAGGAATGCGTGGTATCAGATAGCAAGAAATGACCTAAATTGATAAAACATTGTGCAAACGAAGATTTTAAAGGTTAATTTAATTATAGAGTCATCTTGAGGGCAGCAAAGTAACTGCTGAAATGTTGAACTGGGTTCAGAAAACTTGGAGAAAGGCCTAGCTCAACTCTCCAAAAAGCACCTGCAAGTCAGCTCTGGGCTTGAAGCCAGGAAGTTCTGCGTTCAAATGCAACCTCAGACATTTATAAGCTGCACAACTTGAAAAGGCATTGAACCTACCTGTACATCTGTTTCCTCATCTGTTACATGAGGGGGGTGGACTAGATGGACCATAAGTTCCTTCCAACTCTAGATATATTACTCTATGACTGTAGTTCTGGAGTTAAGGTCATTCTTTTCCTCACACAGACTTAGAGATTGAAGAATTGGAGGAGAGAGAGAAATGCTCCAATTCCTGTCTATGGCTTCAGAGTGACACCAGAATAAATAACCTGATGGGGAACCAGAGGCAAAGTCCATGAAGGTGGGGGAGGAAGTCCTCCGGTAGTCGGTCAAGAGTTGTGCCAATGGGACCATATTCTAGAAGAAAATGCTAAACATTTATTTAGATGAATGAAAATCTGTGAAGGAAAAAAATCTCAAACCTTGTCTTCAACAGGAGTCATCATTTTAATGAGTGGCTGTCCAACTCCAAGTTCCCCAGAGAGCTGACTAGGTTTTTTGACATGGTCAAGAATCCCACAGGATGAGATGTGCCTCGGAGGGCACAGATTCCCTCTCACTGGGGGAAGCGGCTTCTACAATCACAGGCTGAAAGAGTGTTGGGTGAGTGCGTCATGAAGGGTTGGCTCTGCAGGTGCAGTTCGGGTTGGCCAGCCACTGAGGCCTTCCCCACCCTCCCCAGCTCAGACCTTGGAGGTCCCTTCCAATTTGAAGTCTGCCCTCATACTCTGAGATTCTGTGGGGCGATGAAATATCGAGGGAGTCAGGGCTAAGCTAGTAGAAAGAGGACCGATAGCAGTAAAATCAGAAATCCACCAAGTAGCAAAATATTTTTTTTTCCTTAAAGATATCACATTTTCAGTCAAGATTCTGTTTTTCATTATATAAAAACAGGCACAAGGGTTGATATCGTATGAATGATATTTTAAAGTTATCCCTCTAAAGCTCTGAGTTTGGCATTGAGTCCTCCTCCAAGGTCCACATAAGGAACCGTCCCACGCCACTGAGGGAAGGGCCAAGGATCGAGATACTGCACCTGGATGGATTCATCAGCTTTGCGCAAGGGACCTTTTGCTCCTCCTGGGAGTATTAGGACACAGCAGCATCTCAGAGCACAAGCTCCTATTTCCGTAAAAGTTTCCCTTGAACCGTGGTATAACTGACCCTTTAAAAGGCAGCATTTAGCTCCTACACCTCCATTGCTCCTGTCTAGCTTCACGATCCTGAGAAAGACACTGACTCTTTCAGTGTCAGTGTTCTCATCTATCAAATGGGAACAATAGCATCAGCTAAAGAGAATAGATGAGAGAATTAAATGAGAAAATTACGTAGTCCTTTAACAACCATCAATTAGTCACTAAACATTTATTAAGTAGTTATTATATCCCATAAAGCATTATAAAAATGTCAGCTGGTGAGAGTTAGAAAGTTATTTAGAATCTATTCTTTAAGTCTACATTTCAAGAAATGCCCCAAATTCAGTGAATTATTAGTGATGATGATAATGATGAAGAAGAAGATGATGATGATGATGATGATGATGAAGACACCTTAAATATTAATTTACAAATCTTTTGTAGTCCTCTTAGTAGTCCTGGCGAAACCATAATGAAAAGATTCTTATCCCCACTCATTTTACAGATGGGGAAACTAAGGCTTCTTCATGAGGTAGCTTGACTATGTTTACATAGGTAGTAGTTAGCATGTTGGACTCGGGTCCTTGGACTCTAGATGCAGGGGTCTCCTCCCTGACTCATGTTGGTTGCTTAGAAGAGTCAACTCTGGTGGCCAAGGCTAGGAGTTTGATCTCTATTCTGTGCCACAGGCTAAGTAAGGGTGGACTCCAGCTGTGCAAGAGTAGTAATCTTTCTCCTCTCCTGGAGAGACACCTGGAGCACCTGGCAAGGTCATCATTGTTGTATATTTTCAGCAGCAGAAATAAATTAACGATTTAGGGGGGATACGAAGACCTCTAACTTTAACAGTTCCTCTGTGTGACATAACTCAATCCTGATGCACCACTACTCAGCAGAACTTACTTATTGACAATGTTAAATGGTTGGTCTTGGAGTCTGGCAGGCCAAGGTTCCAGTGTTGCCACTGGCTGAATGACAAGTCACTGAAACTCTTGGTGCCCCTGGAAACTCTCTGAGACCATAAGCTGCAGAGGAGTTGGCCGTCTATATCAGAAGAGGGAGTTTTCTCCCTGGGAGTTACCTCCATGGATTAAATTCCCAAGTCTAGACCTGCTAAACCCAGCCAAACAAACAATAAACCTTACTTGGCAAGAGGCTATAACGTGGCCCCATAACCAATCACCTAAACTTATTTACTAGTTGTGAATACATCAACTGTGGGGTAGGAAGAACCAGTTATCCTTTTCATTTTGAAATAAGAAGATATTAAAATTTAAAATTAATAAGAATTAATCATGGATCAGATGCAAAGTCCTAATTTTATACCTGAGCCTTTAACTTGCTCCTTCCTAAAGAAGTCAGCTTCCTTTTTTCTTCTGGCCTCCCAACTTCTCTGGGAATAAGTAAGCCATCTCCTTTTATCCAAAGCCTCTCAGATGCCCATGTCCCACAGTGCCTAGACTTTTTTTTTTGTAGACTTGTTTGCTCCTTGACTTTTGAAAGTCTCTTTTTTCTCACTAACTTTGCTCTATTTCTTGGCATTTCCACTTCCTACAAAGGTAATGAAAACATGGCAACTTTGGTCACCGAGAAAAGCTACCTAATGAATGGGAATGAATTGGCAAAAAGTGTATTTTTTAACCTTTATTCAAGAAAGTAAGTACAATTTTAGTGAATTGGGTTTTAAAGGTTATAAAATATTGAGACCTGGAAATAATAAGGTGTTTTTTTTTCTTTTTTGGTATCTTGCAAGATTTTTCTCTCCCCCCTCCAGTGTCTTTCATTTAGCTTACATCCTTCTATCCACATCAGGCATTGTCACTGATCCACTGATTTCTAGAAGCTATGCTCCACGTCTTACCCTCTTACTCAGTAATAAGTCTTCACCAATAAGCAAGATGAATTTCATACCAAAATTTAGGGCAACCCCACATGAAGGCAGTTTGACAAAACTAACATTGAGACTCGTGCCTTGGCATTGTCTGCACGGCTCGGAGTCTAGCTGATCCGGGGCCCTCCCTGCACAGGAGGTGTGTTAGCGCTCGAGCACGAGCTGGTGCCTAACTCCCTGGGGGAGTGCTCCCAGTCCTTACTTCAATCTCCACAGATTCGTGCAGCCTCTTGCAGGTCGCTGCGAACGTCTCCGAGGTGCCAAACTCAAAATACCAAAACTTGTTCTTCATTCTGAAACAGGAAAGGGAGAAGAAGCTTAGAGAGCATCAGTAACAGACAGGAAAGAAAAGAAATGGGCCCAGCCTGTCTTCTGCTGAGATTAATGGCGGAGGTTTGGGCACATCTGACGTCCACTGTGAAATGGATGAACCCATAATTTTCACAGCTTAAATGTTGGTGTCAAGTTGGATGATGGCCCCTAAAGGGATAACAAAAATGTTCTTCATATGACAGGCTGATCTGCACCCCTGTCTTTTCTATCTCTGGAATTATCAGCCCTCCCCTCCACTAGATAACAAAGACAGAAACTTGGTGGGGTGGGGGAATCACCTCAGAATGAGGATGAGTAGCTATGAGGGACTGAGTACCTGGAATCTGCCTGGGATAGATGTCATTGAAGAAAAAAATGTCCATTGCAAAGTTGTTAGATTCTAAGATATTATGGGGTGCAAGGGAGACAAGAAGTAAGGCAGCATCACTTTTCCCAATGCTACCAGAAGGCCCAGAGATATACGAATCTCACAGATAGGGTCCAGTTCTTTGCCTCCAATGAGAGTCCAGTAGATATGTTGGAGGAAATTCAATTAAAGACACAAAAGAAACAAAAATGCACACATCAGTTGATGAGTTGATTATTCTGGACAGCCAGTGGTTTTGCATTTATCATCTCCAAATGCCCTACTTGAAAATTCTCTTTTTCTAGTTCCCCTCCTTGGTAGGGGTTGGGGTCTGTATAGGTGGATGGAGGAGGACCGATTCACATGGGATCACATATCTTTGCAAGAAGTTTGACTGCTTGTCTTTACAAACAATGCAAATAGCTCAGCTTTTGGGAATGAAATGTAATTTCATGGAAGAAGACGGGATTTTAAAAAGGCCTAGTCATGTGGTTAAAAAAAATCATAGTGTGATAAAAGTCATTTTTGACAAAGCTAAACCATTATAATTATTCATTACTCAAATCAGAAATCCTGAATTCAGTTCAAATAACATACACATTTACATGTGCACACAGACACACATGAACAAAGGTATAATTGGAATAGAAATTTTCCTCATTTTCCTGGCAAACACTGATGGTGCCATTTGGTGACATCTGACTTATAGTCCTGACACCTGTATCTTGGACCTGCAACAAACTGACATCTACGCCATATACCAGAATGTAACAATTGACACATAGACTAAAGACAGAAACCACAAGGGGTATAACTGACAAACTGCACTCCATTTCAGGTCCAGAAAATGCACTGGACCACTGCTTTGCATGTGGTGATGGTACGCAGAAAACATCGAATGGATTTTAAGTTCTAAAAAACCAAACAACTTACAACAGCTTTGTGCATAAGTTCCATAAATCTTCAGGACCCACTAGAATTTTTGATGGTTGTTCAATGCCCATTTTCTTAATTACTATTGTGGTGAGACAAACAGATGGAACATCATTAATCTGAAGGACTGTATTAAGGGTGGCACTCTCGATTTCTCAGAAGACATTTATTTTTAGATTGAAATGTAATTTTTAAAAGTTGCTTGATCTTTAGAACTCTGGTAGCATAAATGATTGAGCTGAGATGTCTCTTTCTCTTTGTACAGAATTCTTATATTGGGAGAATGAGGCACAGAGTGAAGCTGCATGAGAAGTACCTTCTCTGGTGACAGAGTTCCATCATAAAATTAGAAACAAATTCCCCTGGTAAGCATCCTCCTCTAAAATGAGTCGAAAATTGGGGCAAATAAAGGTATAGGTAAACTTGTGGACTGATGGCTAGTCTCCTGCCTTCTAGCAAGCATCATTTGATCCCCGATGCCCAACTTGTCTTTGTTACATTTTTCGTTGATGGTTGGTAACTGCCCATTCATGACTCCATTGATCATCAACACTGGACACTCTGATTTTTGCTCAGCTCTTTACTTTTATTTACATGGCTACCACAGCATGGTTCCACTTTCTTGGTGCTGCTTTCTAACCCTTTCAGCCCAGAAACGAAGGCAGCCAGGTCCTTGACATTCAGAAAACAGTTGAGTTCCCAAATTCATTCCTTTTGACTGTCAAAGTTCCACATGGTCTAATGACAATGAGGCCTACTTCCATTAGACTAACAAATGTTTGTTAGCCTATTCACAACCAAACCAATCCACTCTCTTCAGCTCCTCAGGATTCCACCCCAGATCCCATTCGCCATGTTGGTTTACATCATGGTCCATGGGCCAAAGCTCCTTTAAATTCTCAGTTATTACGGCCATTTTTATGTTTCACTTAGAGAAATATATGGAGGTGATAAAGCCCACATAGAATGTGAGTCCACATGACAAATTAAAGGCTGTTAAATTTTATTTTTTTTATACTAAAACGATCTTTGGATTGTAGGAATGCAAAAAAGCACGTTTGAACATACATACCATCTCTTTTTTATGGTGCACATTTGAAAATGAGCCGGTGCATTCCCAATCACTTTTGACAGGGCAAAGAGATAAATAATCTTGGCCTAAAAATTTGAGCCGAAAGTTTTAGGCTGCCATGAATTTTTAAGACCAAGATGTAATGTGCCTTTTGCTTCAGAAGGCCCCATGCCTACTGGTGCGAGGGCTGATCTGATGCCCACAACCCCTAGGACAGTTGGTTAGATGAGAGGGCTGAGTGCTCAAGTCTTTATTTTTTTTTTAATATTTAGTCTGTTCTAATTGTAAACCTTCTAATTCATCTTTAATATTCAAAGCACTTGGTTCCCAGGTGTTCAGCTGAGGGTGGAGGGCACAATTTCCATGTACACAGCATTTTCTTCCTGACTGTCATTTCTGTTTCTCTCACACAGCAGTACAGACAGGGAAAATTATTGAGCTTTCTTTTTCCTCCCGTTTTTGAAGAGAAATCATTCTTTGTCAACATAATGGCTACTGGGTACTCTGTACCTCGGGCTCTTCACTGCTAACTATGTAACCTGATTGTGAAGATATAGATTTGCCAGACTTTTTCTTTGACAAATTCAAGTGTTTGACTTTTGGGTGCTAAGGAACATTTTCAAGCCAAACAAAAAACAAGGTGGGGGGAGAGTGGGTGAAACAAGAAACATTCATGTAATTCTTGTGGAGAAGACACCTAAACTTAACAAAGCTAGCTGGCAAACCCAGGACATAGGAAGGGATGCAGAATTACCTCTGTTGCCCAATTCTATCAGTGTTGAAATTACAAACCTGTGGCATAGTTGTAAGTTAGTAGCATCATTTGGAAATTAAATCAGATCCTTCCACATTCTTGGACTTTTCCTTTTGACTTTTCTATGAGTATCTGGGAGGAAATTTGGCTGTGAACAATGCATCTGAGGCGATAAACTTTTTGCAAGAGTCATTCTTGAACAAAGTAACCTTCTCCTAGAAAGTGGCTGGCTTACATATTTAACAGTCAGAAGCATAAATTGCTAGGCATAGGGGCTTCCTGAGTAAATACAAGAACATAATATTTGAGGTGGCAAATTTAAATTTAATCTTATTTCATGCTGTGTCATGTATTTAAACAAAAAAGAAAAAAAAAACAAGCTGGGCTGATTTTTCTCTTTCACTTATCAGAAAGATGATTCAAACAATGACTTGTAGGCCCAGGGGCTAGTGGCAATTATTCCAAGGGGTGGCAGAAAATTCTTTAAAAAAATTAAACGGTTAGAAAATAAAAGATGATAAAGAGAAGACAAAAGAGAAAAAAAGCCTCTTAAAATGAATTGTACCTATAGAAGGAGGATTACAGACAGAACTATGTCAGAAGCTTCAAGTTAGATTTGTAAGGTGGAAGATTCAGAACACCAGCAGTAGGCTCAGTGATCAAGGGGACAGCAAGGAAGATTCTCTCATGAGCATAGTTGGGTCAGAAGAAACTTGTTTGGTTTCCTGACTGTATCTGGTCAAGGACTTTGCAATAATGACCATGATGTTCATTATCCTAGTTATCTGTAGATGTCGTCAAGTGACTCTTTTGGAAACAATGCCACTCAATAGGAGAAACCCCTTACTAGGCATAATGAAGTCTTCCTAATTGGCAATGGGTGTGGACTTTGGTGGGCAGCAGAGTTTAAGGGATGGTTCATGTGTTTAAGAAGATGACTGTTTTGCTAGTCCTGGGTCCACTTCACCTTCTCTCCACATTCTTTCTCCCATTCTGCCATTCAACAGCATTGCTTTTCCAAGTCCAACTGATCTCCAAGGGAAGTGTTGATTGCCCATAAAAAAAATATGGTCTCATCAGTTTCTTAGAAAACAAAACAAAAAACACTTATTTGCTAAATATATCTCCTGCCCTCAAGCAGCTTCTTCTAATAAAACACCATTTATTAAGAGCCTAAGGGCAGCTACATAGTACAACAGATAGGGTGCCAGGCCTGGAGTCAGGAAGACCTGGGTTCAAATCCAACCTCATATACTTACTAGTTGTGTGACTCTGGACAAGTCACTTAACCCTACTTGCCTCAGTTTCCTCATCTGTAAAATGCACTGGAGAAGAAAATCCCAAATGGGGTCATGACTGAATAATGATTGAACAACACTTAAGGACCTATTATACACCAGACTCTGAGGAAACAAACACAAAACTAAGTAGCCCTGGACCTTAAGGACTTTACACTCTATTGGAGAAATGAGATATGCTCTGGGCCTTAATTTCCTCTTCTACAAAAGGAAGGTACTGTACTACATGGCTTCTGAGTTGGCTTTCTAGCCCCAAACCTAGGACCCTCTGAAAGTAGCTCATCTAGGGGGAGGCTGGGTGGTACAGCAGATAGAGCACCGGCCCTCGAGTCAGGAGGGCCTGAGTTCAAATCCAGTTTCAGACCAGACACTTGACACTTACTAGATGTGTGACCCTAGGCAAGTCACTTAACCCCAGTTACCTAGACAAAAAAAAATCAAAGCAACTCACCTCACCTCGAAAGCCATAAGAAGGAATTGCTAAAAGAAAACCCAACTGAAGGACTGGAACAAGCCCCATGTAGGTTAGGAGGTGGTCTGTACAAACCTTCTCTGTG